TGCTGTCCTTCAACATGCTCTTTTTTTGGCCCTAAAGATGGAGGAAATTCACATACACCTATGCCTGCACTATTGGCCACACTCTGAGAGCTATTTACCCAGGGAACAATGCCTGCTGCCTAAAACTCTGCTGTGATCTCACAGACAACCAGAGCCAGTTATGGTCAGTAGTTGAATGGAAGAACTCCAGAAAAAATAGCCCAGGCTGCCATAAGTCATCTCAGTGATTTGTTGGTAGTTCTGTCAGAGTAAGGAAATAATGCCCCACACTGTGTCTGGGAGCATTGTTTAAAGGAGATTCATATTCTCTCTCTCTCTCTCTCTCTTTCTCTCTCTCTCTTTCTCTCTTTCTGTCTCTCTCTCTCCCTTTTCTCTTTCTGTCTCCCCTCACTTTCTCCTATCTTCTTTCCTTCCTTCTTCCTTCCTTCTCTTCCTTTCTTTGAATCTTTTTACTTTTTAATAAATTTTATTACATATATATGAGATTTACCACATGTCATGGGATGGATAGGTAGATAGATGGTAAAACAGTTCCTGTAGTGTAGCAGATATATATCTCTATCTTTTCATGTAGTTCTTTTGTGTCACAAGAGCTGCTAAAATCTAATTTAACAAAAATCCTAATACAGTACAATTTTTCTAGCTGTAGTGCTCATGTCAGACATTAGATATCATTTTTTCATCCTGTAAATCTGCTATTTTGTATCCTTTGAACTATATTTCTCCAATTCCTCCCCTCATCTTCCTGCCCTGTAAACTATGGTTTTTCTGTGTATATTTGACTTTTTTTTTACAACACTAGTTGAACTCAGACCCTTGAGAGAGGCCTTCAGACCTTTTTACTTTTACTATTTTACAAATAATTTTCCCCCCAGGCCAGCCTGAACCATCCTTGCCAAGTGCCTAGGGTGACAATCAAATGCCACTGCACTCAGCTTTCTCCTGGTTGAGATGGGGTTTCTCACAAACTTTTCACCTGGGCTAGCCTCAAACCATGATTTTTCTTATCTTAGCTTCCTGACTATCTAGAATTACACCTGTCAGCTACCTGGCAGTATCTTGTTTTTTAATGCAACATTTTTTTTCTCTAAACAGAAACTGGACTCCATGTTTATAACTATTGTGAAATACTCCCCTTGATACACACAAAAATTATCAGCATATCTCTACAAATAAAAACTAAGGCAAAAAGTAGTTAAGATTTTTAGCATATGAGCAATGTACTCTGCACTTTAGCATAGCATGTGGTACCTAGAAGGCATTTCCATATATGTATGAATGAAGGTTGGAGTTTCCAGCATTAGCTTAGCCAAAACCAAAGTTAAAGAAGATGTTAAATTATTTCAAGTATTCACATGGAAAAACTTCTGGCAGATACTAGTGAACTGAGGATTTCTATAAAGCAATGTTGATAGTATGATATCACCAGGAACTAGACTCTAACCAACTTGCTCTTCTATACTTGCAGCTCTTTGCAGTCAGGGAAAGCACACACAGAAAAGCAATTCAGTCCACAACTGGTAACCATGTATGAAAACTGGAGTGATTCTAAATAGCACAAGGAAACTGAACTGAGAAAGGTAGCTGGCTAGCTTGGATAGTATTGGAATCATTTGGCTGAAGATGCTAATCAGTTACCATTTTGTTTTGAAATGGAAGCCTAGTAATCAAATAAGTTTAGTAAAATTCCCTGTGTTTATAGAAATCTAGTCAAAATGATTCTACATTTTCCTATTTCAGCATCCTAGTGGAAGTTACGTTTTGCCTCTCTAATTGAATATTTGCTTACATGTGTGTAATACAACATCCCTGAATGGAGAAAAAAACACTATCATATTTCTATTTTTGTAGGCATTAGACCTCCTGTTTTTCTTTATCTTATGTTAAGACTCTAACTTGCCAGACCATGTTTATAGTATTATCTGTTATTTTATCAATTGGATGAGTAAAGTCCAAAAATCTTATCACCTATGTATAATAAAAAGATAAAAGCACAAATTGGAAGTCCACAGCTCTCAGTGTGAGTGCTGACACTACCATTCACTTTGTAATCTTGGCTAAGTAACTTCACTTCTGAGCCTTAGTGTCCTCATCTATCAAATGAGGATAATGGTAATATCTATATCATACAATGCACACAAAGTCCCAATCTAAGATTGACAAGCAATCTTAGATATCTATTCCAGATGTCTGGTAACAGAGATGAAAGTATTTTCCAGGCTCTAAAGCCATGTGGTGGGGCCAAGCCTGTGTACTTTTCCTTTCCTATGGTCCCATGAAGTTGTTTCCTGAGAGCCACACGGAATGTTCAAGGATGGTCATTTTGAGGAACAGAGAAAAGACAAATTTACAGACCATAGAGAGAAGGGCCATAGGAGAAAAGTCCCTGGGGCGAGACATTGTGCCTAAAAGAAGACTTGTAGCAGCCCATACTTGGATTTTGTTGAGTCTCAGAGAAAGCAGACCTAGTATCTCACATTCTGCAGCATTTGGGGGTAGATTTGATCACAAGGCTCTAGGATTCTGGGGAAAAAAAAGTAAAAGCCAGTAGGGAGGAATACACTCTAAGAATGTTCTGTACCTTCCCTCTCCCCACCCCCAGTTAGCTCCACCTTTGGACTGCCTTCAACAGAGAAATAGCATATGTTACTTTATTATTATTTGAACTATTTATATAATTATTGGCACAATTGTTGCTCTTATTATATACAGATAAATATAGAGGATGTATTTATTGGGACCTAAATTCATTGCCTTACTTATCATCTCAAGCCTATGAGAATGTCCATTATGGTCCTTGTTTGCAAAATAAATGAAGAAACATTAGAAGGGATGAAATACTCGTCAGTAGGCAGACAACTAGAGTTCAGACTCCACCAGGCATAAGTTTAAATTCCATGAGCTACAATTTCTTGTGTCCACCTAGTGCCCATGCCAATGAAAACCAGAAAACATAATCATTAAATGCAATTTTGAAGGGTAGGAAAATGCGGTCACAGTGTTCAATGTGCATAAGTGAAAATGGAACCAGGCAATTTGAGGGGATAGGAGCAGTTGGGAGGGGGGAATGATGGAAGGGGTACACTAATCAAGATGCATTAAATTGAAGGTCCCTTGTACAAATACTTAAACATTAAAATTAAAAAATAATTAATTCTATTTGACTATTTGCCAACCCTGAGATCCCCTTTCAAGAGAGAAATGTTATCTAAATTGTTTAGTCATCTCATTCTGTTCATTTAGCAAACTATGATTTTAAAATAGTAAACACATATTTAGCCATTCACTGTTTTCTACAATTCATAAGTGTCATTGGTTCCTCCATTTCTCTAGACCTTTGAATGGCCTCTGAACTCCCTATCTCCTTGCTGTTTGGAGGGACCTTAGTTGAGTGAAGACACAGAGAAAGCTGAGACTTTGTTTAGGGAATCTTGCACTGGTCAGTCTGGGTCTGGGCAGCCTTACTTCTACCTGCTCCTATTCTCCCATCCCCAGGAAAGCATCTCTTCTACTTCTCCTGTCTCTAGGCTGCCTTCCTCAGAGTAAGAAAGCAATGCCCATGCAGATTTCTCAGTATTGCCAGAGCTTGTACTACACATGTCCTCATCTCTCTTGCAAACTAAAATCTAATAATTGGATTTGTAGCTTATCAAAATGCAAACAAAATGTATAAAACAGTGAAATTTATCATGGCAAATTTTTTTTGTTTTCCTCTATGAGATGTCTTTTACTATTTCAAGACACATTCATTCTCACATAGTATTTTCACATTACAAAGAAAAGCTTTCTTAAGATTAATGTAATTTATTGCAATCAATCCTCTTAAATGAAAAGATGACATTGAGCATAGAATGGTAGCTAGTTGGAGTTTTCTTTTATCAGATAACTATAAGATTTACTGTATAAATAAGCACATTTAAATGTTTTGTATTAATTATATAACTTTAAATACAAGTTGAATGAAAAGTCTTAATTGGATTTTCTCCTTTCTGTTCTGCTGATGAAGCCTTAATTGCATATAATAATAAAATACCTTTAGTCTGAAAGCACATCATACTGCAGTGACGGCCCAGCAATCTACTTCAGTAAAACACCAAACAAATGTCATGTCAATGCTTGCCTTGTGGGAAAAAAATTAAACACAGAACATTTTCCCCTATTTAGTATTCAGTCCAAATACGAGTAGAAGAGATATCCTGTGTACAGTGTCTTTGAAAAGGAAAAATCACTCATACTTTTTAAAGAAAAAAAATCCATGCATGGTTGTTATGAATCATAAAACTCACAGCAAACTGCCCTGAGCTCTTTAGCAAGATCCAAAGGCAAATCAGATTCTATCAGTCAAAGAGTTTAGTTAATCGGAGGACTAGAAAAGGATAAATTACAGGTAATCTGCTCTCCTAATAGCATTGATCCATAATTTATCTCAGCAGGTGATGCCCAGATGGAGTGTTCAACTTATTGAGATATGGACATTCAACACTTTCCATGGCCAATTCCTAATCTAGCACCAGTTTCAATTCTTGAGACAATGGAATGAGACTTATTTTAGCATTCTCTTTAGAAAAATATATTTAGGGGAGGTAAATATGCTAGATCCAAGAGCCAAATATAAATTCTTTTCAGATGATGTATATTGATGGATTACTGATTTATCTTTATAGCTAATCCTCTCCGTTAGAGTGGATAAACCAGAGCTGGATACAATTATTTACACATTGAAAGTAGTGATGATTACTACATGGCATTAGTTCACTAATTCCACCAAAGTTGTTCTTTTCTTTGCCAAACATCTTCCCCATGAAGCCTGCTGTTATGCACACAAATTTGTTTTCTTTGGGAGTTTTCTAATTTTAAAAAGCACAGACCAACAAGGCATGAATCTTCATGTTTGAGAAAATAGTTCCCACTATTCCCACTGACTTGAAGGGAAGCTAACATGTCAATTCATTCCACAATCCCAAAGATGATCTTTCTTGCTTTGCTGCTCTCTCCTATAGCACCCATCCACTTTGAGTTATGCAAAACAAATCATTAAGAAGGATGGCCTGGGACTCCGGGGCCTCAACAAAGGACTTACAGCAACCTTGGGACGTCATGGAGCTTTCAACATGGCTTACTTTGGCTTCTATCACAATGTCAAAATCATTGTTCCTGTCGAAGAGGTAACTCAATGATAATAGCTTTATTTGTAAACTGTTTATGATGTCCTATCACTGTTCAGAATATTGACAGACATTACCTAATTTGATCATCACATCAGGCCTTACATATTGAATGTTGTTATCCCTCTTTAGAATCAACACACTAAGGCAGAGGAACATCCAGTACATTGCTCAGGATCCATTGTACATAGTAAAGCAGAGGCTTGAACCCATGTCTGAAGCAAAAGTATATCTGCTTCATGAATGTTAATTACATAGGAATGCTGTTCAGTTATCACAAATAGGAATTCCTAGAAACTGTGTTATTAATTTTCATCTCAATTACATCATTTTTCAACAAAGATGAAATTTCCATATTGAGCTCATGGAAGATAAGGTAAGCAAGTTTTACATAAGCATTAATATTAAAATTCACATAGCTTAATCTAAGTAGTGAATCAGCTTTTCTAAAATCACTTTCTTTTGATGCAATCTAATGATATAAACTATTAACATTATTTTATGGTAACTTACAGATGCTAAATGTCTTCAAACATCTACAATATAAAAGTAGCACAATGATATACAAGATGTTATGTCTAAAAACAAACTTTATAACTTTGGCAGGGGGCGGGGGGAGGGGGAAAAGGGGAGGAGGGGGAGAGGGCTGGGAAGGGGAAACAAAGGAGGAGGCAACAATGTTTGATAAGAAATGTACTCATTACCATGCCCATGAAAAAAAAAAAGTAGCACAAGCCGGGTGCCAGTGGCTCATGCCTATAATCCTAGCTATTCAGGAGGCTGAGATCTGAGGATCACAGTTAATAGCCATCCTGGGTAGGAAAGTCCATGAGACTCCTATCTCCAATTAACCACCAGAAAAAAACAGAAGCAGCATTGTGGCTCAAGTGGTAGAGTGCTCACCTTGAGCTAAAGAGCTGAGTGACAGCACCCTGGCCCAGAGTTCAAGCTCCACAACAAAAAAATAAAATAAAAAATTAAAGTATCATAGGATATACTTTTAATCTGAAGGATTATAAAATTTCTCTCACTATAAGGCACATACCCATGATGCCAACCCTACTTTTTGGAGTCTGAGAGAAATAACTCACCTAACATGAGAGAGATATTTATGCTTCCTTTGCAAAGCTACCGAAAGGCCTGAGGTAGATAGAAAGTATACACAACAAAGTAGATTACATCAATGACTTACCTAAATATTACCTTTATGTGTGAGTGCATTTTAACATGCATATTATTGCAATAAAATGTTTTCGTTATGTTTGAAGTTGAAAAAAGATCAATTGATGTACATCTAGTCACAAATGGAAGAATTATTTTTAAAACCCACAAGTACGTAAACTTTAATTACTAAGATTATAATTATCCGTGTTAATAATCTGAGAATAATATTTTGTTTCAGTAATAGATTTTCTTAAGCCTTGCATCTATACACCAGGCACTCTGTAAGGCCCTAAGTGTTCTGAAATGATGGGATCTCAAGAGACCTCTCAAGAGAACAGGGAAAGGGAATCTGAACGGACACAATAACAATGGAATATCATGCTTAGATAAGCATCATATCGAGAGTTAACAATTTTACTTTTTAATATGTATTTTTATTGTAAAGATACTATACAAAGGTATTACAGTTACATGAGTAAGGTAATAAGTAAACAATTTTATTTTTAAATCCTAAATCATGCCTGACAATATTTTACATATTCTCCAATTTGGTCCTTATAACTTTGAGCCCATTTCTTAAAATAAATCCCCCCTCCCAATTTTTTCTCTCTCTTATTAATGTGTGTTAATTTTACAAAAGGGTTTTACTGTAGTTTTTCCACATATATATATATATATATATATACACAACATACTTTGATCAACTCCTCCATTACTCTTTTTTATTCTTCCTTCCCTAATTTTAAAATAATTATAATGGGTTACATTATTCTGTTCCCATGTGAATCAAATATTTCAATTATAGTAAGTCTTCCTTCATCCACTTCTTTCATCCTCTCCCCACAAAAATGTTCCTGTGTTTTACAGTAGACTTATTCATTCCTTTCTTAGGTGTAGAGTCCACATATAAGACATAATGTGAAGTTTGCCTCAGTCTGGCTTATTTCTCTTAACATGATGATTTCTAGTTCCACTCATTTTCCTGCAAATGACCTAATTCGTGGCTACATAGTGCTGCATTATGTAGATATACCACATTTCCTTTACCCATTCATCAATTGATGGACTCAGATTGATTCCACAGTTTGACTATTATAAATAAGGCTGTGATAAACATGGGTATGCAGATACCTCTACCATATGTAGACTTATAGTCCTTCAGATACATGTGCGGGACCACTTGATTTTTTGTGGGGAATAAATCTAGAAGAAATGGATGCATTTCTAGACGCATATGACTATATCAGACTTGAACAAAAGGATATAAACAGATAAAACAGATGTATAATGAGCCATGAGACTGAAGCAATAATAAAGAATCTCCTAACAAAGAAAAAGTTCAGGGGCCTGGGAATGTGGCTTAGTGGTAGAGTGCTTGCCTAGCATGCATGAAGCCCAGGGTTCAATTCCTCAGTACCACATAAACAGAAAAAGCCAGAAGTGGTGCTGTAGCTCATATTGTAGTGTTAGCCTTGAGCAAAAAGAAGTTCAGGAACAGTGCCAAGCCCCGAGTTCAAGCCCCAGGACTGGCAAAAGAAAAGAAAAGAAAAAGAAAAAGCTCAGGACTGATCAGATTTACTGCAGAATTCCACCAAACCTTAAAAGAACTAACACTGATGCTCTTCAAACTAAAATATAAACTAGAAATGGAAAGAATGCTACCAAACTAATTCTATGAAGTCAGTATTACCCTGAAACCAAAAATGTATAACCAAAACTTACACAAAAGAAAAGTATAAATGCCCTTGATTAATGTAGAAAAAATGTATTAATTAAAATGCTTGCAAATTTAATTCTACAACACATTTTAAAGATCATATACCAGCCAGGCACCAGTTATTCATGTCTGTAATCTTCACTCAGGAAGCTGAGACCTAGAGGCTCTCACTCCGAAGCAGAAATGACATTGAAACTCCATCTCCAATTAACCAGCAAAATGTGGATTAGAGGCTTGGCATAAGTGATAGAGTGCCCCCTGATCAAGAAAGCCATATGAAATGTAAGGCCCTGAGTTGAGTACCCAGTACCAGCAGACACACACACACACACACACACATGCACACGCACACACACGCACACACACACATACACACAGATCATATCCTATAACCAAATTTGTTTCATTGTAGAGACACAAGGACAGTTCAACATATATATATCAACAAACTTAAAATAGCACACAAATAGAATCAGGGACAAAATTGCATGTTAACCTTAGTAGATGCAGATAAACTCTGACAAAATTTAAAATCATTTTATGATAAAAATCACTGAGGAAACTAGGAATAAAATGAACTTTACCATAATAAAGGCTACATCCAGCAAATCTATAGCCAACATTGCACTATGTGCAGAAAACCCCAAATTTCCTCAAAAATCAGGACTGAGACAATGATGTCCACTCTCTTTTTAGTATAATGCTTGAATTATTAGCCAGATAAATGAAGCAAGAGAAAGAAATAAAGGGATACAAATAAGAAATTAAATGATAACCCTATACATTCAAAACCTAAAAGACTCTACAAAAACATCTTTTAGAGCTAATAAATGCTTTCAGCAAAGTAACAGGATATAGAATCAACGCACAAAAGAAGTTAAGTAGATTTTCAATATACCAAAAATGAGTATATTGAGAAGAAAATCAGGAAAATAATTTATTCATAAGAACCTCAAGAAATCAATAAAATACATAGGAATAAAGCTTGCCAAAAAGGTGAAAGACTCTTTACAGTGAAAATAATAAAAGGCTGAAGAAAGAAATTGAAGAAGACACTAGAAAATGGAAAGACCTCCCATGATCACAGGTTGGCCAAATTAACACTGCTAAAATGACCTTATTAACAAAAGTGATCTACAAATAGATGCAATTTCCACCAAAATTCCAATGACATTGTTCACAGAAATAGAAAAACAAAGGATTTTGAATAGCCAAAGAAATCCTCATGAAAAGAGAAATGCTGGAGGAAGATATCCAAGTATCTGACTTCTAATTATAATACAGAGCCATAGTAGCAACAATAACAACAACAAAAACATGGTAGTAGAGCAAAACCAATAGAATAGGAGAATGGTGCCAGAAATAAGTCCGTGCTGTTGTGATTCTCAACCAAAGGGCTCAGACCATGCATTGGAAAAAAAAAAAAAGTCTTCTTAACAAGTGGTGCTGGAAATCCTATGTATCCATATATTGAAGAATGAAACTAGATCCCTGTCTCTCACCTTAAGAAAAATCAATTCAAAAATAGGTCAAAAGCCAGGACCAGTGGCTCATGTCTGTAATGCTAGCTACTCAGGAGGATGAGATCTTAGGATCACAGTTCAAAGCAGCCCAGTTATCTCCAGTTCACAAAAAAAAAAACTGGAAGTAGAGCATTAGTTCAAATGGTAGAACACTAGCTTTGAGCAAAAAAGTTCAGGACAGTGCCCAAGCCCTGAGTTCAAATCAGCACATACACAAAAGAATGATCAAACCTTAATATAGTAAAAAAAAAAAAAAAAAAAAAAAAACCCTGAACCTACTACAGGAAAATATAGGGAAAACAATTGAGGATATAGGCAAGGACTTTCTGAATAAGACTCTAATAGCTCAGGAAATAAGAACAAAATATGGACACATGGAATCACATGTAAAAGTTTCTGTACAGCAAAAGAAACAATTAAGACACAGCCTAGAGAATGGAAGAAAATCTTTGGTGATCTGACAAGGAATTAATATTCCAAACATATAACAACTTGAAGTTTAAATGTCAAAAATACAAATAATCCTGTCAACAGGTATACAAATGAAGTGAACAAACCATTCTCAAAAGAAATGTGAATTACCAATAAATGCATAA